CAAACACAAGTGCCACTTCTAAAGTATGTTTTTAATTTTATAGCACAACATTACAGCTTTCAAAAATACTTCCTACTGGGGCCAGCAGGTAACAATGGTGGCTAAGGCATTGGACTCCCACATGGGCAACTGTGGTTCGAGTCCTGGACCTGGCTACTTGAAAACCACAGTGTGTGTGTGTGTGTGTGTGTGTGTGTCTACAATCCCGAGAGAGTGGAAGAGAACGGACTGTGGTGCGGCCATCCCCCCGGGGGAGTGATTTCTCAGTTCGTCTCTCTCTGTAGCTCTCTATCTCTCTCCTCTCCAGCGAGCACAAACACTCTATGACAAAAACAAACAAAACTGTCTATTACATTACATTTATTAAGGAGATTCAGTGTGTGTGTGTGTGTGTGTGTGTGTGTGTGTGAGAGAGAGAGAGAGAGATGAGCCTGTCTGCCCTAAGTCTAAGAATAAGACCGATTAGACGACGCCATTACAGTTACCTGGTCGGCCCCCGTGAGATGTATGAAGCTCTCCAGGATGGATGGGCTCAGTCTGTCCATCACGTCTATGGCTAACTCATCATCACCCTAGAAAAAAGGACATCATATGTCTAAAAAAATTAGCAATACTCAGGAAAAGGACCCAAACCTAACGGGCACTGAAAATTCACTTCCACATTATTTGTTACAAATGAAACTGAGGCCAGGTGAGCTAGCTTTAGATCTCGCCAAAAGACTGTTATGAAGTTACACGTCTGTGGTCGCGAGGAAAGTGGGGTAAGAGTGGGTGAAAGGACCGTTTTTAACTACTTTCATTAGACAACAAAAGAAATATCTAAATCTTACCTTAGGCATTTCCAAAAGTGCAAATAAAGCCCGTATTTCCCTAAGGACGCTGACGGCTAGCCTCCTAGTGGCAGGCCGGCTGAGACAGAGAATTACCAGGGCAAACCCTTCGGCCACGTGGAACACGCTGGGGTACGGGTTTCTTTCCAGAGCGGGGTGAGACGCTCCATTCGACACACCATGCTTGAGAAAACAAACAGTTAAGAATCACATAGAAGAATGGATGTACAGACACTCCAGACAAACAGTGAGCAGAGAAAACAATCACAGACGTGATGGCTACAGGTCTGCTTCGGCTCAAGCTTTTCAACAGTATTTAATCTGTGAAAATGTGGTCGTGTACACGGTGACGAAAAGCCCTTCAGAGGCAGTGTGGACATGAATCCTGTCCCTAGCTGCTATCACTCTCTGGTCATGTGTAACCTTGGAGCCAGCGCTTCGTCACTCCTGATCTGAGGATTCTCTGTGGAAATGGAGGGGACTGGAGTGGATCTCTCACACTGCAAGTGTGGGCCAGCAAGGGCTCGGCATGACCTGGGAGCCTGTTAGAGACAGAGGTTCTCAGGCCGCCAGAGAGCCGAATGTTCACCGAGGGCCAAGCAGCGGCAACTCGAGCACCATGGAAGGTCAGGGAGTGTGGTACTATGCACACGAAAACCATCTAAACGCTCAAATGGGAGGCGACTCACACATGTTATTATATCAGCTTTCGACATATTGGAAACAACCTGAACATGAACTAGAATCAGCTTTACTTTCTACGCTCATTAAAAACTATTTGTTAGCGGGACCAGCATGTGGCGTGGTGGTTAAAAGCGCTGGATTCCCACAGGCTGACGACTGTGGTTCAATTCCCGGACCTGACAGTTTGCTTTCTCACTTTCCCTTACACACTCTCTCACTCTCTTTCTGTCTCTGGTCAAATTAAAATAATAATAATAACAATAATAAACGGAATTAAATAATTTAAAAAAAAAAAACTATTTGTTACCAAAGGAAGGCTAGAAAGTTAGAGAAAGAAATTTTATGTATATATAAAAACGTTTATATAAGGATATATATATATACACACAGAATATGGAACTATAGGAAAGTTCCGTTTATGGGATTATGAACACACTAGCAGTGAGTAAGAACTTTCCATGTCTGAGGAAATACATCTGTCTTCGTAACATCACTACTGCTCACTTAACACCGACTGTGTACAGAGTCAACAGGAGAAAGCGGGGTACCTGCGAGTCCTGGGCTTTGTTATGCATTTGGGCCGCCTGCTTCCACTGATTGATTAACTGCACCAACATCTTTACGGCGTTATCGAGAAGCGTGGGATGGACGTCAGTCACTTCACGAACGATGAAGTAAACAAACCCTGAAAGAACATCCTCCCGCCAGTCTGGGAAGTCAAGCATCAGGGCCTGCAGCGTGTTGAAGGCCAGCGCACGCAGTTCTTCATCCATGTGGACTGTGAGCCTGCAGGGGACAGACGGCTGTGAGCAAACTTCGCAGCTTCTCCAAGGGCTTTCTCATCTACAGCTTAAAACCGAGAGCTTACAAGATAGGTACTCTCGGTTGTTTGGTGAAAGTATGAAGACAGGAACCAATGTCCACTTTTTAATGCTGCGTTCATCCTTGTGCTAGTCTGTACTTATCTGTTTAAAATCACATATAAATCTACTAGTATTAGTATTTTTACTATAGTTCAGAATAGTAAGCTTGATCGCAATTCAAATGCCATACTTTAGAAGAGAGATAACATATCAAAATTTTATTAAAAATGTCTTTAATCCTGGGACCAGAGGTTGGCGTAATGGCTATGTCACTGGACTTCCACATAGTCGACCGTGGTTCGAGTCCCGGACCCCGAGGCTTAAACTCACACCCGGCACGTGTACATGCGTGCCCAAGATCCCGAGAGGAGAATGGAGGAGAAAGGATTGCAGCGTGGCCATCCCCCTGGGTGGTGATTTTTCACTTTCTGTCTCTCTGTCTGTCTCTTTCTGACAAATGTACGTGCCCTATAACAAAAACCTCTCCAAAAAAAAAAAAGTCTTCAATCCTTAAAAGACCACGTGTTGCAGTCCTTTAATCAATCAAAAATTATGTCCAGCGACAAAATCTTGGCACTAGCTCCCATGCAGTCCTTTACTAACAGAAAGGGCACGATGACCTCCGTTGTTCCTTACTGCCGAGGTCGCAGTTAAATGTAAGACGCCTGACTGTGAAGAAGGGAAGACAACTGAGATAGAATCGATTTAACAGAAATAATTCTTTTTTTATTTTTAAAAAAGAATTATTTAATTCCATGTTATTATCTTTTTTATTATTCATACATTAAATCAAAGTAAGAATGAGAGTCCATTTGGAGTAATATCATATCCTAGAAAAAAGACTGCGTCAACAAATCCCCAAGGAAAGGTGAAGCCTAAACCCGTTAGAGAGAGACTCTATACAATAACCTTTGAAGACTTCAAAACTGTCTGTCTTTAAACATGATTTTAACGATAGCATTTTTTTTTTTGAGAGGTTTTTGCTATAGGGCGCGTGTGCTCACCAGACAGAGACATAGAGACAGAAAGCGAGAACTCACCCCCTGGGGGGGGGATGGCCACACCACAATCCCTTCTCCTCCATTCTCCTCTCAGGATCTTGGGCACACACGCACAGCGCCTGGCCTGAGTTTAAGCCACCGGGTCCGGGACGCGAACCATGGTCAACTACGTGGGAGTCCAGCAACATAGCCATTACTCTAACTGCTGGTCCCAATGATAGGATTTTTAACACAACTTAAAGAAGAGAGAAATAAACAAGAAAGCCATACAAAATGACCTCGGTGGTGAAGTCACTGATACGTAATACTGTGTGAGTCAGGGGTTCTGATTTGGGGGTTGAGGGGGGTTATTTCAGTGACTGATTCTAAAGACAAATGCAAACGAGTTAAAAATAGCCTAAGACAAGTAGGTAATATTAAAAATACAACAGCATTACATGCTCGGGAAACTGGCAAGACGGAGTGCTCAAGTGCAGAGAGAGCGCTGTGTGGCGTAGGAGGAGGGAGCTAAGAGCTCTGCCCGCTGACTCAGGCCTGGCCTTCACTCCGCCAGCCTTCAACTGACAACGAGACGCAGAGACAGTCTATTACAGCGACACGGGCTTGGGAGCACATCGGGCAGGAGCAGCGCATCAAAAATAGACAGGGTCGGAACGAGGACTTCCAACCGGCGTTCTGTCTCTGACAGCGGCACCCAGGGACATACCTTGGGAGGACAGGGACCGTCCTCCATGATGCTGACTCGACAGGTTATGTCAGCATCCCTTAAACACGCGTGTAAGTGAAAACCCGTCTTACGCCTAGCTGTGTGTTCAGGTGCGTCCCATGAGTTAACTCCCCTTGCATCGAGAACAAGGCAGGCTGGCTGACCAAAGCAGGGAATTGATGGGACTTTCCTCGGAGACGGCATACAGGCCCACAGTTACGAAGCATCTTGGTTTTATTTGTTTGCTTCCTTGAAGTAAGCAAGATTAGAGGAGTAGCAGGCACGATGGAACAGCCCCTAGGATCTTTCTTTCCAGCAAAGGAAACTAACTAGGAAATGATTATCCGAGGGGAAAGGAACAGTCAACGGCAAGGCAACTTGTCATCCCCGTCCAGTTCTCTGCCCCTTGCTAGGCTCCCCTCTCCCTGCCCCTCGTAGGTGCAGTTTCTTTTTAGTGGGGGATCTGGGAGAGTGGGGCTGGGAGGAGGAAGAGCAGGGTTGGAAGGAGCTGTTCACCGCTCTCCCACGAAGTGAGCATGATCAATAATTAATGTTTCTAGTTTCTTCCACTGACATGAACCGTGTAATTCTACAATCTAATTCTTAGCAAAAATTGAGAGAGGAGGAAGAGAATAAACTTATCTAATGGTGCAAAGTTTCAAAATAACCCTCCCTTTCGCCTCATAACCCCACCAGGAGGCAGAGAGCACCATTCCAACTCTGGTCACGACCCGCGACGGCTGAGGCTGGAGCAGTGCCGGTGAGCGAAAGTGAGGTGCGCTCAGGAAGGGGCGGGTATAAACCACCGATTCTGCGGGATCTGGACTGGTGCCTCACTGGCCAGTGCCCAGCCCCATGAAGGCCTCTCAGTACGGGGTAGGACCACTGCTCTGCTGCAGCCCTCGTTCTGGGTTTCCATCCAGGGCTGAGTGCAGCTGATGCCTCCCGGGGCATGGTCAAGGCCGGCCCTGTCCACCCGGCCTGTGGCTGCTCCGGTGTGCTCATGACAGAGGCCTACAGCCTGCAAACCCTACGCCACACACTACCTGGCCCTCTTTGTAAAAACGGAGTCTGCCAAGCGCCTCTCTACAGCATCCTTGACTGCATCGACAAGGCCGTATCCCAACGGGCCACTGCCTGACTTAGAACCCCTCTTGGGCCCTCGTATCTCAGGTGGTCACCATGGGATATGCTCATTTCACTGAGCTACGACGTGCCTCGAGGAAGGGGAGTTTAAAAACAGGAATGACACA